AGGGCATCGGGGGAGGCCTCAGGCTGTCTGTACTGCATCCTCCCTGGGGACAGAAGAAACCTCCAGGCATCAGCGGGGACAGGGCTTCGGGTTTTCATTTCCCCATGGGCCGCTGGCCCCACGTGAATGTCTGTGGCAGCAGAAGGAGCCAAATGCTCCTCTGTCTTTCCCAGCTGCAGGCCCCTTCTTCCTCCTCCACCCTCTGCTGCCCTTCCCCAGTCTTGGGGCAAGGTCAGGGTTGAGTTTCCATTTCAAAGGCCCAGACGGAGGCTGCAGGGCTTAAAGCCAGGCACCCGGGTAACATGGAGGGCAAGGTACAGGGGACGCTGACTGCCCCCCCTGCAGGGCTCATCATTTCTTCGCCTTCCCTGTGGTTGGCAGGGTGAGAGGGTGCCCCTGTCAGGGGGGTGCCAAGCCGACAACAGAAGGATCAGTGCCAAGAGGGTCAAGGGCAAGTCTGAGCTCATGACCCTGGCCTGGTCCCCGCCCACTTCCTGGCTTCTGCTGCCGCCCCTCCGTCTAGTGCCTGTGGCCACGCCCAGCTCTCCACCTTGTCCAGCACCACTTCGCTCTTCGTCATCAGGGCCTCAGCTCAAAGGTCACCTCTTCCAAGAGGACTTTGCTGACCACAGCAGACAGAGCCCTGCTCTGATGACCCTGTTGCACCTCTGCCACTGGTATGTGCCCTGCAGCTGGCCGTGTGCCTGTCCGTCCTGGACCCCTGCCTCTGTCTCCCTTCCCTCCATGGTCCCCACGCCTGGTCTGGCTCCCCTCGTGTCTCCAGAGCCAGGTGCCCCTCTCACTCTGGCTATGGTGAATGGACGCCAGGCCACTCTGGTGCTCCAGTGTGTCCTGCTGTTCCCACCTTGGTCACACCTTTGCTCCTGTCTGGGTCACCTGGTGTTTGGATGTGCATCTTCTTGAACACCACTGTGGGTTCAGGTTGGGCACCTCCGGTGGACAAGATGGCAGGAGGGGAGCTGGCGGCTGGGCCCAGGGACTCCTCCACTCTTCTGCAGACCCTTTTTCCTTCCCGGGAGGCCGCCCCTCCCCTGTGGTCACCTACCCCAGGCGCCCTCCTCTAGCACACACTCTGTGACTAATGACTAGATGCCCCAAGAGGCCATTTCCCTCCAGGCTCAATGAGTGGAGACAAACCTACGGTGACAAGAGATTGGGGCTGTAGCCGAGGCCTGAGGACCTTGGGATCCACTTTGCTACAGACACCTCTTCCCTTGCTCTCAGAAGAKGACCCTTGGGGGTGGCTCAGGAAATGAGCAAGGAGAAGCAGGGCTGGCTGGGGGCCATGCTTGGGGGCACCTCAAGCCTCCGGGCCGGCTCCAGACAGGACGGGGACCCCTGCGGCTGACAAGGGTGGAAGCCAGGGCTCACCAGGACATGTGATCCACCCAGGTGAGGCACTGGGCGGGGGAGGGAGGCGGGGCGGTGGCCTGCCCGTTGGGTCCCCGCGCTGGTCAAGGTCCAGCTGGTTCCAGCTGAGGTGGCCGCAGCTCCTCCCTGGGCCTTCCTCTCAGAGACTGTCCCCAGCCCCTCATCCCAGACTCTCACCTGGGCTGGCAGTGGGGGGGGCTGGGAAAGAGGCAGGTGACAATCCCCCTGAGAGGTGACAGCCTGGGGCGGGAGCCACCAGCGCGCCACCTGAGAGTGGGTGAGGAGCAGGTTAGCTGGGTGAAAAGTTCAGCGCCAGGGCAGCTGTCTGTTTCCCCGCTAATTCACCCACTATTTGGCTAACCTTGCTCTGAACCCAGGCCCGAGACCCCTCTCCGCTCCCCCCGCCTCCCCGCTGGGCGCCCCGGCTGCCACCAGCCTCCTGCCGCCCGCGCGGCCAGGCGGGGGACACGCTGGCCTTGAGAGGCTCGGGCCGGGCCGAGGGCGCCTGGGGGAGAGGCCTGCGGCCCGGCCAGCGGTTATTTATGACCTGAACCTTCTTCCCATCTTGAGTAACCAAAATAAAGCCGGCTGCGGGGCTGCGGGCGAGGTCTGGGCCCCCAAAGGCCAAGCGTCCCGCCCGCCCTCCCGAGTACACAGCTGCGCTCAAGGCAGGGACCTGGCCTCGGCCATCTGTCATCACGGCCTCGGGCAGGAGCTGGACACAKGGGCCAGCAGTGGCAGAGGGGTGGCCAGCCGGCTTCCCCGGTCCTTCTGTCTGTCCTTGACTGCTCAGGGGCCGATCCCCACAGACTGTCCTCGTCCTGGTCCCCCTTTTGCTGACCCGTTCTGTGGGATGTAGAGGTGGAGGGAGAGGACTGTCCCTTGGCAGTGTCCACCCACTGCTGGCGGGCAGAGCTCCTGGCACCCGTGATTTCCCAACGTCCAGCARCAACCCTGTCTCCTGGCCGAGGAGAGTTGCTGGTGACATGGCAACCCGGGTCACCGTGACCCCAAGGCCRCACTCTCAGCCACTGGATGCACTTCCACTCTCACTTTCCATCCTCTGCTGAAGTCCCTTCTTAGCAACTGTAGAGGTCACATGTCCCAGCGACCGGTGGAAACAAAGATCCACAGACATGCATCGTCCTGTCCCCAGCCTCACCCCTGCGAGTTCCAGATGACCTCCTCCACTGCCTCCCAACAGCACGGAAACCAGGGCACGTGTGGACAGGAAGAGTCTGTTTTGACAGTCGTGGTTCTCACGGTGCTTGCTTGTCTCCAGGGACGCAGTGCCAGGAGCCCCAGGTCAAGGCCGGAATAATTCTTTTTAATAGCTGCATGACCTGCCTGCTCTGGGTGATCCAGGATTTTTGTTTTGTTTTGTTTTTTGTACCAGGGATTTAACCCAGGGATGCTCTACCACTAAACCACATCCCTGTTCCTTTTTAAAAATTTTGAGACAGGGTCTTGATGAGTTGATTAGGGCCTCACTAAGTAACTGAGGCTGGCCTTGAACTTGAGATCCTCCTGTCTCAGCCTCCTGAGTAGCTGGGAGTAGCCACTGCCATTGCCTTGGGCTGAACCAGAACAATTTTCACTTGCTTACTTTTTTTTTTTTTTAGTTGTAGATGACACAATACCTTTATTTATTTATTTTTATATGGTGCTGACGATCAAACCCAGTGCCTCACATGTGCTAGGCAAGCGCTCTACCGCTGAGCCACCACCCTAGCCCCACTTGCTTACTTTTGTATTGAGATAGGACTTACTCAGAATCCCAAGTGCACAGCTCCATCAATGCTGCACRGCTGAACGTGTGAGGTCACCAGGCACCCATCGTCTCTTGCCCCTAAATTCTCTTCCCCAGTCTCATCAGCCCCAGAGATCATCACTAGGGTTCCTCTGTCTCCACAGATTCATCGCATCTGTTTTGAACTCTGCGTGAATGGCGTGAGGAAGGAAGGTTTTGTGTCTGGACTCTTTTGCTTGATGTATGTTTGCAGAGCTGCCCGTGTCCCCGGTGGCAGGAGGCTGCTCATTTTGTGGCTACATTGTGTTTCATTATTTGAATGTCTGCCATAATCCAGCTGCTACTTGAAGGAAATGAGCATAGTTTCCAGTTTTTTCCCAACACATCACAAGTAATGCGGTAATAGGCATCTTTGAGCACACACCTCTGTGGGCTCATGCTTTTATATCTGAGGAAGGACTCCATCTTTCCATTTGTTGATGAGAATTAAAGTGTCCTTTTGATACTTGTCCAAGGAGATGACGTTCCTTCCATCTGGAGCTCCATCCAGTGATGGGACTTCATCGATGGGGCCTCATTGACCGGACCAGATCTTGCTGAGGAGCGGTGGGATGTACCTCATGGACAATGGACAGCCATCAACAGCTCTCAGGAGAGTGGCGTGGGAAGATGTGTGTTTTGGAAAGGTCTCCCTGGCTGCATGGTGGGGGAGCCATGATGGGGGACACTGTGGAGGCAGAGACCACGGTTGAGAAGACCAGCTGAGGCAGGAGGGGACAGCCCTAGAAGATGGAGGGGAAGAACTGACAGGCCCCAGGGAGTGGTCAGTGGAGGGGACAGCCTGGGGGTGAGGACAGACAGGGCATAGAAGGGTCAGGAGACCTGCTCCATCTCGCCCAGGCCCCAGCCCAGCAGGGTGGCCCTGACTCAGTAGCCAGCCCCTAAGGTTCTGCCCCACTYTTAGGGGACGGGTCTGTGTGGAGGCCACTTCCCGAGTCCTGCTTTCTCTGTCCACCCAAATGGGCCCCCAGCCCCACAGGGAGGCCTGCGGCCCTTCTGCTGGGTGAGTCCGCCATGACACGGTGGCCAGTTCCCRGGGCAGAGGACGGCCTCCTGCCTCAACTGGTCTCGGCTCCACACCTCTCCTCTGGAGGCCCCACTAGCACGCCCGATGGTGACTTCATGAGGCAGGAAAACCAGGTACCCRTCTAGCACTTACCGAATCCCTCCACTCGGGGGACTGGCCCCACRTGGCCTCCTGCTCCTGCTGGGAAGGCCTCCTGCTACCACATGGGGACAAGAGGCCTTTAGCATCAGCAGAGGCCGCCAGCCACCACCTCTTGCAGTTGGGGTGAGTGGGGGAGGCTGTTCCCATTCYGCCCGGAGGGGCAGACGCAGGGCCRGATGGTGGCAACCCCGAGAGGTCTCCCAGCCCTACCTCAGACAGCCCGTGATGGACTGCCAGAGAGGCCTGCTCAGCTGCCAAGCCCACACTGCCAAGTGCCCACCAGGAGCCTGCCGACTGCCAGTCAGGAGGGGCCAGTGATCAGGAGGAGGGCTGCCAACGGCCTGTCACTACCCTGGCCAACTGTCAGTCAAGAGAGGACCAAGCCCCAGGAAGTCAGGATTGCCCGTCAGGCATCAGCCAACTGTCACTCAGAAAGGCCCGAGGCAAGCCAGGGCGTCCGGCAGTGGTCATTCTGCTGACAGATACTGTTCTTGCTACCTGGCATCTTTTCACCTTCCCTGACACTGGGCTTTCAGGGCCACCCCTCCCCAGCGCTCAGTCCCTGCGTCTCTGTGGGCTGATTTCCTCTTTGGCAGCCAGGACAGACCACAAGGCTCAGGCTTGGCCAATTAGACCACTGCGTTCCTCTGTCGTTGTGATGGGTTTATGCCTGGACGTGGCTCTCAACCCAGGGTGAGGAGTCTTCTCCTGTGCCCCTAACCGGGAGGGGGGYGTGAGACTAGCAGCCAGCCTGCCATCACAGGAGCAGGGTGCTGAGAAGGAAGCCAGCCCCAAGGATGCCAAAATGAAGGGCAGAGAAACTGGATCTGGGTTCAGGTCCTGGAAATACTGTGTGCTCCTGGATCCAGCCGTACTGAAACCAGTCACCGCTGGGCCTTCTAGTTGTGTGAATCAACRAATTCCTCCCTTTGGGCCTAGCAAGAAACATCGTGAGTAGCACCAGCAATCACTCTGGGAGTCCACCAGTGTCTCGGGGGCCCAGATGCTGGTCATGGCTTTAGTGGGAGGCTAGGGATGTTTCCAGAGGAACTTCTGACTCAAAGGGCTAGACAAGCGGCTCCATGATTGCCTTCCTTGCCCCAGGCTGCGGAGCTATTGGCAGGATCAAGATGTTGCCCACGGGCTGGGGCTGCGGCTCAGCGGTAGAGCACTTGCCTAGCACGTGCAAGGCGCTGGGTTAGATCCTCAGCACCACATAAGAATAAATAAATAAAATAAAGATATTGTGTCCAACTACAAGTAAAAAAAAAAAAAAAAAGATGTTGCCCAAGCCTCAGCATCAAGCAAAGCTGAGAAGTGGGGGATTTGCCCCAGTGGGGTGGTATCTGGAGCGAAGACTCCCCTGGGGTCCAGTGGCAATGGCAGCAGCAGCAGTGGTTTGGAGCTCCCTATATCCTTTCCAGAAACTTCAGGGAGAGTCAGTGTCTTTTGGGATTGGGACAAAGAAACCCACCAGCCCCTTATACCCTCAGGGTGAAGCAGCTGCATCTTCTGGGGACAAGGAACAGCCAACTCAAGGCTGCTTTCTGCAATCCTGCCTCCTCACACTTGTTAAGTGTCCTTCCATGCACCTGGCAGAGCACTGGGCACATTTCAGGTGCTCCAGGAATTATTGGAGGTAGGGGGACAATCTGCCCAAGAAAAGGAGGGGGAGAAAGTGTGCCTGCCTGAGGAAGGCTGGAACGCTCTTAGTCAGATTTCTGTTGCTCTGATAAAATACCCGAGAAAATTATAAAAAAAGAGAGGTTGATTTTTGGCTCAGTTTCAGRCAATTGGTTTTGGGCCTGGCAGAACATCACGGTGGGCGGTGGGCAGCTCGCCTCCTGTGGCTGGGAAGCAGACAGAAAGAGGAAGGGGCTGGTGTCTCCCCTTCAAGGACACGCCCCCAATGACCTAACTGCCTCTCATTGGCCCCACCTCCTGCAAGTTCCCCCACCTCCCAGTAGCACCAAGGACTGAGATCAAGCTATTAGCACAAAGCCATTTAAGATCCACATCATAGTAGGTACCAAAGAAATCACTGACCTCTTCCTCCCAGCTCAGAAGTGACTGGGCTCAGAGGTGCTGGAATCTGACAGCAGTGTTGAYATGGCTATGCCAGGAAGAGACCAGGTGGGGCCGGATAAAGATCTCGATGAATCATTCAAGAAGCCACAAAACTCAGGGATTGAAAGTCAGGAGTGTGCAGCTCCACTCTGGGGTTCAAATCCGGCTCCACCAGCACCCCTATAAAATAATCCTGGGGAGATCCTTTCACCTGCTTCCAGCTCAGCCTCCTAAAGAGGGTTAGATTTTCACTACTAATACATATACCTTACTCACACACAGGGATTGAGTACTGTGATTATAAAATAAGTATGATKTATTAATGTCTTACTAGGTGTTTACTGGCACCGAGCCCACCCGTGTTAGTTCACTATGTGACTTACTCCCTAGGTTTTCAAAGCCACTCTGGGGGACAGAGCTATTGGTCCCATCCCACAGAGGAGGAAGTYGAGGCTGAGGAAGGTCAAGATCCGGTTAAAATCAAGCTCAAGTTCCCAGAGAGCCTGGCTCCAAACCCCAGCCTCTTCGCTTCTCCGCRCGCCCCGTGGCAGCCAGCTGGAGCGGCCCACTCGGCTTCCCTCGGTGGACAGCAAGCAAGGCCGGCCATCCAGGGAGGCGGCCCAGCCCCAGCACAACTGCCCCGGGGGGCCAGGGTGGTGTTGGGGGATATTTAGCTGCACAGYGCACTCCGCATGCCAGGGCTGTAGGAGCCCACACGCCCAGAGCCAGGCCTCAGGCTGGGGCTCTGCCCAAGCCACGTGTGACCTCCCCAAGCAGGATCCAGTTACATCACAGCAGCAGCCCAAGGAACAGACCTGGCTGTGTCTCTCGCCACGTGCTTATTTCCTCTGCCTTGTGAGTGTTGAAAAATGAAAGGAATGATAAGGGTTTGGGGGTGTGGTGGGGGGCTGGCTGGAAAATCCTGCAGAACTTGGGTAACTCAGCCGGAGGGAAGCACGGAGGAGTCCTCAGAGAGAGAAAAAAATCTCACAAGGTTATAGGGTTAGTTGCATCAGAACATCCTCCAGCCTGGGAGCGGRGGCTTCTGGATTCCTGCTCCTCGTTGGGGGATGAAGGTCCAGCCTTGGGACAGAAGGTTCACATYCTGGGGTTCTGCTGCTGGCCTCCCAGAGCCGGGCCACCAAAGCCCTCTGGGCCTCAGCTACTCTTGCAAGGAAGAGTTGGGGAAATGCATGCAGACCAGAGGCCCCTGAGGGGCAGTTTTGCTCCTCGGGGACATTTGGAAATGTCCAGGAACACATTTTTTGGTAGTCAGAGCTGAGAAGGGCAACTAGTGARTAAAGACCAGGGAAGCCAGACACCCTCAGTGCCCACAACAGCCCCCGCCACAGAGAATGCTCCTGTCCCCAGTGTCAACAGCCTGTGGTTTAGAGAAGGCCGGTGTGGAGTCTGGAAGGTGTAGCAGTGCAGGCCCATCGGGAAGCTTAAGGGAAGGCGGCAGGAGGCGTCCTGGAAGCCTCCACGTGGGCTGCCTCCGAGGAAGCGTCTGTGTCCATCAGACAACAGATGTTTACCCAGCGTCCAGCGGAGCCAGCACTCTGCCAGGAGCTGGGCAGAATTGAACAACTTCTCACCTCATGCAGTGTCTGATCCAGAGGGGCAGAAAGAGCCAGACGGAGTAGGCAAGCAAGTCAGTGACATGGCCCCCGTCACCATCAAGGATGGTAAATGGATGAACCACCGCCRTCTGTCCAGACACTGCGAGACTGTTCAGCCACCGAGGGAGGATGTTCTGATGCAACTATGACCCGGATGAACCTGGAAGGCCTTATGCTCAGGGGAAGAAGCCCAACCCTGCAGACCACATGCCACTGATGGCATTGCTGTGAAAGAACAGGAAAATGGGTAGAGACAGGAAGTAGCTGGTTGCCAGGGACCGAGAGAGCTGGGGGAAATGGARGAGGACTGGTAACGGCTACAGAATTTCTTTTTAAGGTAATGAAAATGCTCTTGGATTGGTTGGGATGTTGGTTGCACAACTCTRAATAATGTCTTACACACCATTGGACTGCACTGTCTGTCTTTTTTGAGTACTGGGGATTGAACTTAGAGGCCCTTTACTACTGAGCCCCAGCCACAGCCCCTTTACTTTGCTTTTATCTGTTTGGTACCAGGGACTATACCCAGGGGCACTTAACCACTGAGCCACAGCCACAGCCCTTTTAATTTTTTATTTTGAGACAGGGTTTCACTGAGTTACTTAATGCCTTACTAAGTTGCTGAGGCTGGCCTCAAACTTTCCATCCTTTTGCTTCAGCCTCCTGAGCCATTGGGATTACAAGTGTGCTCCACTGCAACCAGCTTTTTTTTTTTTGTTTTGAGACAGGGTCTTGCTAAGTTACCTAGGCTGGCCTCAAACATGTGCCTCTCCTGCCTCAGTCTCCTAAATAGTGGGATTTGGAGCTTCAATGGCTGACTTGTGCAGTGTGTGAATTGCAGCTCTATAAAGCCATCGTGGACACAACAGTAACAATGATGATGGCTGATGAATGAAATAAACAACAGCCTGAGACAGATCAACCCAGTGCCACTGTGGCCAGATGGGAAGCTGCCAGGAGCTGATATCTGAGAAGGAGACAGAGACCAAGGTCCAAGAGAGGGGACAGAACAGAATGTGCGAAGAGCCTCTGGGGCCAGAGCCCAGGATGTGCCCAGTGGGAAGGCAGCCCGCATTACTGTGGCTGGGGGCTGACCGTGCAGAAAGGATYGGAGACCTGGCCTCTGTGCTCGGGACCCTGCACATTCTGTTCTGTCATATGCCCCCAGGGGCTCGGCACCTGGACAGGTGGCCTGGCCTCCATGTAAAGGACAATTTACTTTCRAAGTGCTTTTTGTTATCCTCAGTAGTGTCCGCAACACCCCTGGTRGGGGTCAGGGGGTGGGGTCCCAACAGCCTCCACCCCCAGGTTGCACTGGCTGGCCTCTGAGTCAAGCCAACCCACCCTGGGCCAGCGTTGCCGCCAGTAGTTTTTCTTCCTTGTGGACCTTCCTCCCAATGCCTGATGTCTGCCCTAAGGGACACATCTTTCTAGCTAGGTGACATTGCCACTTTGAGCAGTACCTTCCAGGGGACTTCTTTGTTTCTTCTTTCCAAGCCACTGGGGGATCTGAGCACCAGGGGCTGCACAGAGTCAAGGATGGTGGGAGATGCCAGACAAATGTCCTACASATATACTGCATTGCCTGCTCTGCCCTGGGGGACAGCCTGCTCTGCCCTGGAGACCCTCAAGCATGCAACTGGGTCACTTCCGAGGACCTGAGTCTTCTTTGTCGGGTTGCCCTGCCCTCCCTAGGGACCTCCCTTCACCCTTGTGCCCACCACCCTGCAGGGGTCTTCTGAGTCACAGCTTTATCCTACCACGACCACAGGGAGCCAGGCACGCAGTGACTTGCTGCCATCACACGCCAGGTCAAGACGTTGACCAGGTGTCCTGAGGAGTCCTCGGGTCCTGTCTATCAGCTATGGGGCCACCAGCATCGTGTCACCCCCTTGAGTTCACAGAGCCTTCTTAGGTATGATTAGCACTGGAGAGTGACCCTGGGCCTAAGAGGCAGGGGTCTGAACAGAGACCCCACTCTGTAGGGCAGGAAGGGCGATGTCACACAATGGAGGTGGCAGAGCCCAGAGGGGAGCTCAGGCCAGTGGGACTCCAGAGTCAAGATTCTGCTCCCAAATCTCAGGGCTTCCCACTGCTGGAGGAGTCTCGCTGCCTCCTGGAAGGTGTGGGAAGCCTGGGCACTCAGAATGGGCATCTGGGCATCACATCTACCAGGAGCCTGGGGACCTCAACAGTCTGTGAGAGGTGGCAGGAGCCTGGACCCTGCATATGAGGTCCCAGATTCAGGAGGAACTATAGTGGGCAGCTGTCCATTTATGAAGAGATGGAGATTAATGAACATTTGTAAATCAAATCACTGCCTCACAGCCCCCCTCTAAAGCAGCCCAGCAGGACGGGGGTGCCCTGGAGCTGCCCCAGCCCTTCTCCTGTGTCGCCTCCTGGCTTTTCCTGGTGTCCAGGCCATCTGTATATAGAAGTTCTCTTCATAAGTACAGACATCCAGGGTGTCACCAACCTCTGCTTCCTTCCTGAACAGCGGAGGAGTCCCCCTGCAGGTTATGGTAGGAGTGTGGGTCTCTCCTCTCCTGAGACGGCCCCCTTGCCATCTAGAACAGTTCGCTTAGGACTTGGGCAGATGACTCCTCTGTTGGTGATCTGGCTCCTTTCTTTATCCCCCACCCAACTGGAACATTCCCAAGGGCAAGGACTGGCTTCTCCACCAGACAGGGCCCTGGGCTGGGGCACAGGAAGGAGTGGGGTTAGGGCTGAGCCACGCAGTCAGCTCAGGAGATTTCTATCACTCTAGAACATTAGTTTGGCCTGAGGAGAATCAGTTTCTCAAAGTATTCTGGTCCCCAGGAGCTGGGTGGTGGCCATAGGACTCAATTCCTGATCACTTGCCAGGCCAGATAGCCTGGTCCCCTGAAATGGGGCCAGGATAGGGCTTAGGTCTGGCGCCTCCCTGGGCTTGGCGCCCACCCCCAATCTGGTTCTCTTTTGGTTTGGGGAAGAACCTCAAGCATGGCAACTGGGTCACTTCCCAGGACCTAAGTCTTCTTTGTAGGGTTGGCACGCCCTGTCCTGTCCCTTGGAGGTTTGGCGCTTGTCATGCTCCTCCGCTTGCYGAGCACAGGGACAGAATTAGCTCTCCAAGCCGCCAAACCATCCCTGGGAGGGACCAGAATTTGGCCTCCTGGGAATCTGCCCAAGGCTTTTCTCCTTGGTTCCTCTGGGAAAAGATCCAGAAAAAAGACTGAAAGCTCCTGGCAGATTGGAGGAGGGGAGGGGCGAGACCAGGCTCTGTCCTGCCTTCAGAGGAAGCCCCCAGGGCTCTGGGAAACTGAGAGCTCCCACCACAGCCAAGACAGTGACTTGTGCTCCATGGCCCWGGGGAGGGCTGGCTGGGCCTCCCTCCCTCCCAGCATGCAGTCGTTCCCCAGGGATCCTTGCTGCATTCCTGGCCTGAAGGCCAAATGCAATTTCATGGAAACCTCAGGAGTTGAATGCTTTCCAAAAGGGTGGCCTGGAGCCAGACCATGAGCACAGGAATCTATCCTCTCTGCTCAAGGAAGGTCCGAAAAATCAGGACTCAGCAGACAGATCCCCAGCTGGTCCTCCTGTCTGTCTCTGCCCACCAAGATGTACCGTCCCCAACCTGGCTCCTGGGCCAGCCAATGACAGGCACCTGCCCTGGGGACACACCCATGTTGTCCAGCCATGCGGGGTGTGGGGTGTGGGGTGTGTTAGGTAGTTGTGAAAATTCCAGAAGGACCCCCTTGACACCCAAGGCAGACTTTGGTGACACATGTCCTCAAGAACCAAAAGGAAGCTGACGGAGGGTCCGGGATCGGTGCCACCTGATGCCAGGGTAAGGAGAGGGGCTCGCGGGTCAGGTAGCGCTGGGTTCAGACCCTGGGCCCTGGCAGGCGGGGTCTTTTCTCCTTTTTGGCATGGGCTTCCTGACCCCCTTCCCCAGGGGTGCTGTGTGCGGAGAACCTGGCCTGTGCTCCCAAGGGCCACCGCGTCCCTGCCTCGGCTTCCCTCCATTCCCGGCCTATCCTTTAACCTTTCCCTCAGACATCATCTTCCGTGGCCGCCCCAGCACCCGGGGGACGGCATTTCCTGCTGCACCCCGCGCGGGCTGGATCACATGACCTCTCTCTGGCCAATGAGATGCGAGCTGAAGTGACGCGAGTTGTTTCCGGGCAGAAAGTTGAAGAGCCAGTGACAGCTGGCGAGGGGAGCTGAGTTGCGCCTGGACACTCCGTCCTCTATCGAAGTCTGAGCCCGGGGCAAAGGCGACACAGCGCGGAGCTGGAGCCACCTGGCCGGAGAGGCAGCGACCCTCAACTGAAGCTCGCGTGGAGATTGGGGTCGTGTGCGCAGCCGTCGCCGAGAACCGGCCCGGGGTCCTCGGCGCCTGGGGCGGAGGGGGGGGCGTGATGACTAACAGTGCAACGCTTAGTGCTCAAAAATGGTGGAGAGAATCAATTTCTGCTCGCAGACCAGAGTGACCCTCCTGCCCGCTGAGGGTGGGATCTTCTAATGGCAGTTGGGAGGGCTCGGCCTGAGGTTTGTATGCACCCCGGGAGGAAGCGCCTCCCTGAGTCAGAGGCCGTGACCTTCTGCTGCTCCCTGGGGAACTCCCCGCCTGCTCCCTGCCACCCACCCGCAGCAGCTCTGTGGACAGAGGCTGCTTCTGTGAGATGACATTGTTGGCCTCCCCTGCTAGCCAGGGTTGGGTTGGTGAGCTTGCTGCATGGGGGCTGGGAGGGACAGCCACCAGAGATCCATAGGGTGACCCTAGACACCTCTTTTTGGCTATAACTTTCCCCCAATGACTGAGCCCGAGACCAATACCTTCTGCAGCCCCAGACTTCGCTTTTCCTGTGGTGTGGGGTCCTTGCTGTCCCATAGCACTGGCCTTATTGCAGTGATCTATCCCTAAGTTTTTTTCCAGTGACCTGTGGTCCCTTCTTGACCAGATGATTGACATCACGGCTGGAGGTCTTCAGAGTTTGGGCTTCTCAGCTGGGTTCCCCTCTCGGCTCCACCCACGTGCCATGTAGACAGCAGGTGTCGGTGAAGACAGGTTCTTCTCTCCCAGGTTGATGGCCTGGTGGTGCTGGCACAGGATGGAGGGCAGCCCCAGCTGTGGCCAGCCCTAGCTGTGGCCCGCTCTCTGCAGTCTGGTTCTTGGTGGTCAGGCAAGGGAACCACTGGTGTTGGGAAGGGCTCTGGCAAGGAACCAGGCACTTCCCTCTGCCCTCAGGTCTGGGCTCCATTTCCTCTCCTGGTCTTTGCCCACTTCTCTCCTCCTGGCAGCTGGGGGCCCTGAGCTGGCCAGTTCTCTCAAAGGATAGGGTTTTGTGGTTGGGACTGGCTCCCTCCCATCTGCCCACCAAGGATTTGAACAAGGGAACTTGCAAAAGCCATCTCTCTTTATTTTTTATTCCAGCTGTTCAACCAGTTTGCGCAAGCTGAGGATGAGTGGGTTTTGGAGGGAAAGGTAGAGCATCTAGGGACAGACCCTCCCAGAAATAGTCTATGCACACTGCTGAGGCTGGTTAGACTTGAGAAGCAATTTAACAATGAACTGTACAGAATCAGAAATGTAGAAATGACAAGGCAGCTGCTAGCTGGTTTCTTGGCTCCCCATGGGGGTCAGAGTTATACGCATCAGTCCTGTGCAAAGGTCCTGGGGCTGACCTGGGGGCGCTGCCATATTCTTCCCTGGGGGCAGAAGCAGCCCTGCTCACCCAGCAGAAATGTACCAACAGGCAGGCGCATGGGTGTGTGCCCAGGTTCTATGGCCCCTGCAGGCTCTGTCGCTCCTCGAGCATGTCTCTTCCTCCTGCCTCTATGTCCGCCCCTTGAAGGTGTTCATGCAGGTGTAGGTTCCTGAGAATCTGTGGATCTCCTCCAGTGCAGCCTGTGGGAGTATGCTGGGGAGCAGGGAGGAAGAAAGGAAGATGGTCAGCAGGGGGGTCAYTGGTGGCCACATCAAACAAGAGTGGTAGAATGGTATTCCTAGAAGCACTCATCTCCCCTTTCCCAAGCACAGGCCAGCTTCCCCTGTGACCACCGAGTTCACCCAGGGAAGAGCTTTCACACAAGTGGGTGAGCCGCTGTCCACAAGGTGAAGGGCGGCCACAGGATCAGCCTCGCTGCGCCACATTCGTGRCATCTACTGTGGTGTGAATGTGCTGGTCCCCTCCGAAACTCACGCTGCAATGTGGCCCTCGTTGGTGGAGTTGGGGGGTGACCTTGAGGGCGCTCTGCCCTCACGAGTGGACTATTCCACTCAGGCGTCATGGGTGGTCTGGCGGTGGCTTTGTCATAGAGGCAGCTTGCTGTCTCACCTCGTGGTGCCATGCTGTGGGACAGCAGCACCGTCTCTGGAGGCCCAGCAGGCCAGCCCTGTGCTCTTGAACTGAGAGTGAATAAACCTCTCTTCCTTATAAGTAACCTAGTCTGTGGTTTTCAGTGATAGCAACCAAACAGCCCGGGAGGGCAGCGGGGCCAGAGGTCCTTCAGCAGAGATCTACACTGTGGGGCTGAGGAGTGAGCTCCAGTTTGGGTGTCGTGTCCTCCAGGGAAGTGTCCCAGACTCACCTACAGGCTTTTCTTGGGTGCAACCCAGAGTCCTGAGGTCATCTTGCCTGCCTGTCACTTGGGTACTTTTGGGGTGATATTTCATATCTGACTCCCTGCCCCTGGCCCTGGCCTGCACAGAGAGAACCCCCTGTCTGATGAGTCAGATTGAAGGGCCCTGGCCCATTCCACGTGCAAGACAGGAAAGCTCCTTTCTGGGCAGAACAATTCAGAAAACTTCCTGGGGGTGGTGGCAGTAGGGTTGGGCCTTTAAAGACTTCTCTCAGGGAAGGTGAGGAGGGGGTCCCTTGCAGGGATTGGGGAGGGGGAGTGGCCTCTGCTTCCCGTGGGGAGGTAGTGGGGGATAGGACAGGAAATGTCAGCTGGGGTTTAGATGATGTAGCAAACTAACTTTTCTATAGAATGTTCCAGAAGACTTCTGAGGTTCCCTGAGGCGCACAGTGCCAGCCTGGCCTCAGTGAGGGCCTGTGCCCCTGCCCTTAAAGGGGATCCCTGAAGCAGCCAAGGGGCCTCCTGGACCAGAGGTCAGAATGGAGTGTGTCCAGCTGTCCCCGTCCCCTCTCCACTCTGAGCCTCCAAAGAAGCTTTGAGCTTGGAGGAGAAAGAACTGGTTGGCACTGTCCCCTGTTTTCGGGTTTCAGTGGTCACTGTGTCACAGTGGCTGGGAGGCTGGCTTTCTGGGGAGGTGATGCCAGCCCAGCACGGGGGTCTTCATTCCTGAAGAGGCCTCCAGGTGGGAGGGTCCGTCAGGCAGGGCGGGGGCTGGAGTCCTGAGGCTCCAGGGACAAAGCTCTCCCTGTACCCAAGAGCCATGAGCACTGCTGAGGTGGCCAGCTGCAGTGGCCCCTTCAGTGTGGGACTKGGGTGGCAAGGGTTCGCTGCACAAGGTCTGGAAAGTTCCAGGGGAACACGACACGGGGCAGATTCTGGAGGACCATCTCCTGAATGAAGCCGCCACCTCAGCTACTCTGGTGAGTCCCTGGGACTATCAGTGTGACGCTCCTGAGCCTCGGCCGGCCTCGTGGCACCCGTGTTCCTCCTTAGCTCCGACTTCCTGGGGGCTGGGCCTGGTCTGGGTCTGTAGAACAGTGGTTCTCAAGTGCAGTCCAGGAGCCCTTGGGGTACCTGCCATCCTCCCAGGGGTCTGCAAGTTCAGACTGTTTTATGGTCATACTGAGATACCACCAGCCTTGATCACTGTCACCCTTTCACAGGTCTACAGTGGCGTCTCCCAGAGGCTGTGTGACGCYGGCAGACACAAGAATCCAGTTGTCTCCAATTAAATGATGAAAGATTCATGAAAATGTAAAACGACGTTTCTCCTGACTACAGTCACTTTGTTTTGGGGAATATGTAACTCCTCGTCATGAAAACACGGCCTGTCGGGCAGTAAGCTGGTCATCGCCACTCACTCAATTCTGTCGTGGTTACTTAATGGTGCCGGGGATGGGACCCAGGGCCTCACACGTAAATGTGATAAATACAGCTGACAGACGAGGGCTCCTGGCTTCCTCAGTAATTCTTCAGGACTACAGGGGCCCGAGGACCGCTGCCTGTGCTGGGGCTCGGACCTTGTGGCGCAGGTGCCCCGACCCCTCGTTCTCGTGCCCACAGCAGACATGACTCATCGGTCACATTGTCCTCCTGCCTGCTGCTTCCCCACTGGGCCTCCAGGGGACCGGGAATGTCTGGCATGACACTGACCAGGGCTCCTCCCCGCACCTACCTTTTCAAGATAATGAGGATATTCATGGTCCAGGGGAGCAGGAGGAGGGCCTGGTTGAGCTGCACCGCTTCCACCGTCCTCCGTGCCACCGTCTCTGGCTTCAGCGGGGGAAAGAGATTGGGAAACCTGGGGCAGGAAGAGACACAGCGGGTTTCTCTCGGGGAAGCGCGTGCTCCTGGGAAGTCTGGGTGGCTGACGTGGGSGGTGTCCCTCGGCTTTTCCCGTGTGACACTCGAGACTGGGGGTGTTCGAGCTCAGACTTGTCGGGGCTCCATGTTCCCTCACTGCAGCCTCCAGCACCCGAGCGAGGGCCCCCAGGTTGCAGGGGGCGCCCTTGGGGACCAGGACTTCTAGCCCACCTGGGTTCGCCCAGCTCTGCACAGCCCGGCCCTGCCCAGTGTCCTGTGTCTGCTCTGCCCCAGCAGGACTGTTCCTGCCACCTACGCTCTAACCTTTGCCAGCTGTCCTCTCCCTGCTCCTCTGGGAGACCTCTTGTCCCCATAGTCCCCCAAACGGCCTCCGATCTTGCCCGCCTGCTAATTCCTTCACCACACTGAGCGCGTCTAGAGTGGCCTTGTTTCCTAGCCAATGGCCCGTCTCCCCCAACAGACTTTGAGTTCGYGAGGGCAGAGGCCCGATCAGTCTTGCTCCCTGTTGTATCCTCAGCATCTAACAGTGTCTGGCATGTAGCGGGTGCTCAGTAGATACTTGCTGACTGCAGGGATGCTGAGCAGGTAGCCCTGGCCTAGGTGTCCTCATGCTGTCTGGAGGCGGGGCCTGTGCTGGAGGTGCCCACTGCCCAGCCAGCTGGTTCTCTAACTCGTGGATTCATGCAGACATTGCAGAGCGTGTTCCGTGAAACTGCTCAGTGAATGATGGACTGAGCAATCACAGGGGCTTCTCGTGCCTGTTCAGAGCCCTCTGACTGTGGACACCCGCAGCAGTGATGTCCCCGTGTGCTCACACCATCCTCTCCAATTGATGACAGGGAAACCGAGGCTCTGGGGGGCAAGCAGGACCAACCAGGCCCGCAGGGTTCGAGGTCATGCTCTCGCCCCTCTCCTCGGTGCTCCTCCCACCTTCCTGCTGCTGGCTCTGATGCCAGTCCCACCAAGGGCGTGGGGTCTGCCCTGACACCACAAGACTGAGGGCACCGAGTCACTAGGTCTGGTGACATTCCTGAGCACAGGCAGCTCCTGGGATCCACAGACCTCACCCCTGCCCTGGGCTTTCTTTGCTGTCCTGGGTGCCTCTAAAGGCCCTCAGCCACACTGTCCCAAAGCGCTGGCCTCTGGTTCTGCAGAGATGAGCTTGTGGAGGCAGCTCACTGGTGTGGAACCCGACAGATGTGGTGGCCGGTGGACTCTCCGGCCTCTACCTGTGGCCAGTCCTGCCTCTGGGGGAAGAAAAGGCAGAATGGATAGAAGGAGCTCCATGGGCTTGGGGGCTTCCTGGAAAGACCCTCAGGAGAACCCCACAGAGGAGCTCTGCTGTCTGCTGGTGGGACCTTCTCCCTTGTCTCCCTGGTGGGCGGGAGGGGTACACGGGGAACTGGCYACTCCCGGAGGCAGCACAGACTCTCAGAAAAACCACATTCAGCTAGCCAGTTTCTCCTGGGTGGCCTTGGGCAAGTAACTGCCTTCCAAGCCTCAGTTTCCTCCCCTGTGACATGGGGATAAGAGCCCTCTAGCAGGGTTGCYGTGTGTGCACCAAACCCGAGAAGTAGGTGGACTACGATTAATCCCTTTTCATAAACGAGGAGATGGAGGCACAGAAAAGTCAAGTAACCTGCCCAAGGTCACACAGCTGAGATGCGACCAGGCCATTTGGGTCTGCATTCTGAACCTCTAAGAAACAATGACTTGGGTAAACCTTGAATTTCTTAAGTGGTGGAGAGGACAGACGCCAGTAGGTAAAATACACCCATGTGATGACTGCCAGTGTCCCTCCCCTTCTGTGTTGAGGGTGCCCAATCAAAACTGTAAT